CGACACGACACCGACCACCACACACACACACACACACACACACACACACACACACACACATACACACACACACACACACAACACATAACGCACGCACATACTAGCTTTTACCGAGCTAATTTGTTTAGCTAATTATAGTTAATATTGCAATGAATATAATATGTTGATATGATATTATGTTTCCCACCACGCCAGGTGTTCGACGCTGCCTCGATCACACACAGTGTCGGAGAACGCGTCGCAGGCGCAGAAGAAGCTACCAACGTCTTCCGCCAGGCCGCGCCACCTGAGCTTGCCCGTCGGTGTCTCAGAGGGTGAACTCTCTCATTGACAGCCTGAAATATAAGGAGTATATTTATGAGTGGGGGGGGGGGTCCGTGGCGAGCTGGGTTAGAGGGTGAGGTTTAGGGTTAGGGTTAGGGTTAGGGTTGAAGGTATACATAATCAGAGATATTGTGGTACTGAGAAGTGGGTAGAAAGATGTCGTTGTTAGTACATTTAGGAGTGGGACGTCGATTCCTTGACGTAGAATGAATTTGACAGCGATGGGTTCCTTGCTAACTCGGTGAGAGCCCGCTAGATGGCGTCCGCTGTGCGTTCATACGATACGACATCAAACACAGCAACCTTCCCCGTTTCACCGAGCTTTTTCTTGTTCGGTATCTGACACCAGATGTCGCCACCCATATCCCGGGAGAGGGCGCAGAGGTCGCCGTACCGCCGACGCCGCCGATATCGCCGGTAGGCCATGCCCCTGATCTCGGCTCGTCCAAGCATAACCTGTACACCCAAGAGCCGCATCACAGCTTGCTGCCAGACGGCATCGGTTTTCCAAACATCTCTGCAGAGGACGCGCAGGTAACTGCAACGATCTTAAACTTCAACGCAAATGTAACGTAATTCTGTCTAAACTTTCAAGCCGTCATGTATTGTGTGAACTAGTCTATTTCACATCTGGTATCAATAACTTTGACTAGTGATCGGCAAATGACGGTTCTTTCGCGAATGACATAAATTCTTGTTCTCGCCGTGAGATTTTAATTAAACCGAATGAAATTAGGCCACGAAAAAAAACGAAAGACTTATTCTCACCACCCGGAGATTGATTCTCACATCTGTCACCAGGCGGCGCCACCTGCGACCGACCACGCTTACAGCAACGTGCCCAAGCCCCTTCCCCGCTCCACCAGCATTCACCAGCAGCAGCTACAGGAGGAGCCGAAGAAGGAAGAGGAGGAGGAGGAGGAGTAGCAGCAGCAGCAGGAGGAGAAGGAGGAGACGTAAGGAAGCAGGCTGAACGCGGGGGCTAGAACTCCGGGTGCGAGCGAGCTCGGCGACAAACGAGCAGACGACCACCGAGAATGCACCGCAGCGACAGTAGCAGCTAGTGGCGCCCCCTGCCAGAGGAACGTCAACCTGGGACGTAGATGGGCTACACGCTCTTAGGGAGAAGACAGACTAGACGGAGCAAGGGTGAGGCGGGCTAGAATGGTATCAGGTTGATGCTGAGCCTGAGGGTATGAGGGGGAAGGGTGCAAACTAGGGGACGTAAAGGGTTAGGAATACTGTGGTCAGGTGACGACAGACTCGGAACTCGAGGAGGAAGCGGCATACTAAGGGGAGGGGAGTGCAGAGAACGAAGGAGGGTATGCATACCCACTCATGGGGAGAGGGTATGCATGTTAAATGGAAGTATCAGGGAATAAGTTCCCAGTATAGGTTCTATTTCTATATATTAGTACTCGATATTATCGTATATTGTATATCGTATATTGTATACATTGTGTGTATATTGTATTGTTGTATTACGAATATTGTATGTTATAATGCTAGATATACTCGCTGTGATAGTCGGCAAAACTGTGTTAAACACTAAAAGAACAGAGAGAGAGAGAGAGAGAGAGAGAGAGAGAGAGAGAGAGAGAGAGTAGTAAGAGAGAGAGAGAGAGAGAA